GTCATCAACACCTGTCGAGGTGTTGATTACCACTTCACGCATTAACTACAAACATGCAGTCAATATTTTAGCAGCCCAAGTTGACATGAAACTTCCTCAGGTGGCGATGGACGAGCGATCTTTTACGCCAGATACGGAAACGACGGGCGTCGAGCTTCATAAAGACTCCAAATTCCACGAGCAGTGGGAAGACTTCAAAAACAACAACCAGTATATAAACAAGGTACACTCAGGCACATATCGTCGGCTAAATTTGAAAACCTTCGTTTTTGAACGAAATCCCATTTTACTCTTTAAGCGCATTATCGGACAATTAAAGCGTAAAATATCATTGGGTCTACAATTTATATTTTGATTTTATGGCCAAATCATCGAAGCATTCCCCTCTATCCTGGTCACCACATCATCTTTCATACTATGAGGCCATTATTGTAAATTCTTCTAGCAACTAGACAAGTGACAATGAAAATGTAGGAAATGAAACTGAATGATGAACTGACAGTCAGCCGTGACCTGTAAACGACCTGAAACCAGTTGGTTTATTTGAAAAAACAATATATGCAATTTAGAAACGAAAAATAGTTTCATTTCCTATGTGTAATAATCGAGAAAAATCTAAAAAATTTAAATAATCAAGTTTTTTTTTGTGTCACCTAGTAATTTTTTTACAGGTATTAGATTGGAAGCTAAAATACGAAGAATCCGACAATCCTGTAGTGCGAGGCGCGCGATTTATCACAGACAAAATGAGCAGTCTTTTCGGGAACATATTCGAAAAGACTGAACTTTCGAAAACGCTAACAGAAATCTGCAAAATCGACCCCAATTTCACCGCTCAAAAGTTCCTCGACGACTGTGCAAATGACATCATCCCTAACATACTAGAAGCCATGGTCCGTGGCAACCTAGACATTCTCAATGACTGGTGTTACACAGGCGTATACAACATCCTAGCGGCACCAATAAAACAATGTCAGCAACTTGGGTACCGTTTAGACTCTAAAATACTTGATATTGAACAGATTGAGCTAGTCATGGGCAAGATGATGGACCAGGGTCCAGTTTTAGTGATCACATTCCAGTCTCAGCAAATAATGTGTGTACGAGATGCGACAAACAAGGTCATCGAAGGTTCACCCGACAAAGTAATGCGAGTTAATTACGTGTGGGTCCTTTGTAGAGATCCCCAGGAGTTGAACCCAAAAGCAGCGTGGAAGTTACTCGAAATGTCGGCGAACAGTGTAGAACAGTTAATATAGATGTAGTTGTTGACAATTAAATCGATGGAGGACACTTCATGTTTTAGTAGACCTGTCCAATACCATGTTCCTTTGTCTTTCCTTCGTGATGACGTCATAATGTCGCTAACGCAGTGACTAGTAGAGTGTAATGGAATTTTAACTTTACGTTTTCTGTTAACAGCATAAGTGAAAATATCAGAATTGTATTTATTAATTTGATTATTCGCTTATTTAAAAGGCAATAACAAGTATAATTTTTTAAATACCTTTTTGGACATTTTTGGGGTAAATTAAACGACGAACTTGACGTGATCATTAAACAGCTTCAATCGTCACTATTATGGTAAATAGTTTTGATGAAGTTTAATAATTGTGAGTATAAGTATAAATTCAGAGAGCGAACGTCACAGTATAGGCATATGGCGTCATCGCGCTCGAATTTAACATTTAAGTAGAAAAATGTAAATAGACAATTTGCCAGTTTTGATTATGGAAGCGCGAACACAATTTTGGTTGCAATTTTTTATTGTAAGGCATCGTTATTTATAGGAAATGAAACTATTTTTCCGGATTTAAATCGCGTATAGTTGTTGTTGACCATGGGACCTGTAAAGGGCACGAAACGTCGGTTTGTTTAAAAAACAAATATACGCGATTTAAATCCGGAAAAATAGTTTCATTTCCTATGTGTAACAATCGCGAAAACCTAAGAACTCGACATCGTTATTTAGTCAAGGATTTATTTTTAAGTTTTTTAGACTCCAGAAACTCTGTAGTGTGTGAAATAAGTGCATTTTGCTTGAATTACAAATAATTTTGGAAATCGGTGGCAAAAGATTTCCTTTTGTATGTTCTAGTCGTACGAAATAGCAAGGAAAGATAAATCGTACAAGATTTCCGATACTTATTTGGTAGAAATAACCATTTTTCCAATGAAATAAAAGTACCTTATGAAATAAAAAGTTGAAATGTGTAAATCCATTTCAGGGTTTCCAGAGTTTGTTATTTGGAATAATTACTTTGACGTCTATTTTATAATTTAGTTTTATTTTCTAATTATTATGTTGTTACTTTAATAAATTAATTTATTTTTAGTGTCACTTTAGATGCGTGGTTTTATTTATTAATTATTTACGAAAATGTTGACAACTTTACAGAGGAATTAACAATTTTAGCACAGATTACTTAATAGTGTTGTAGCGAATGAACAAATTAAGTCATAATGGTAGAATATTTACGTGCGCTGATAACGTCGCTAGGCGGTTGTAATTTGTTCATTATTGTCGTCATTTTGTTATAATAATAATATTTTTTTAAAAAGGTTATATATTACCTACATAATCTGTTATAAATATAACATTGATTTATTATGTCAATTATAGTTTTCAAATTTACTTCACAAGATAAGCATTCAGGCCAGTCAGGACAGCAGACCCAGGCAGGGTCGGACGTGTTAGGTCATAGAGTGAAATACGTTGGTTTATAAACACATGTTTATTGTTTGATCTCAAGAATTTAAATGACAAAATGATTGAAATTAAAACTTAAACTTCATTGCTAACCACGCATTACGCATTACATGTTGCAGTTAGACTACAAAATATAGTTTATTATCTCAGTACAGAGTGCTAAAAAACCGACCTCAAAAGTCGTTCATCCCCTAGTCTTCCACCCTTAGAGGTGGGATATTTTCTTTAAATTGGACCACTACTGAGCTACCCTCTTTCTAACAAAAAGAATCATCAAAATCGGCTCACAAATGCGGAGTTATCGCGTAACGTACATACAACAAAAACAGTCGAATTGAGTACCTCCTTTTTTGAAGTCGGTTAAAAACTAAGTGAACATTTTGTTTTATAGGGAGTTACTTGTCCTTTCCTTGTTAGAAGTCGAAATAACTATTTATTATTATCGATACAAACGAACAAAGAAAATATTACCGGCCTCAAACCAGCAGCGTCTGTTTGTCAAACGAAGTGTTTTGTTCCCGACTGAAAGAACTTTTATTGGATAATGAATTCTACAGTATAGAGGAATTTCTTTTAAAGAAATTGTAATTATATTTTAATTTTGGACATTTGTATTTTGAAAATATTTAATTTTTCTTTGTAAATCGTATTTTTCTTTTCATTATTGTATATTATGTTATTACTGTTTACATTAATGACGATCATGTTATCCCTTGACATTATATTCCGAATTGTAATATTATTAAATTAGTAGTATGAAAAAAAAGCCGCTCTTACCAACCGAGTTACAGATCGAGTCGGCAGACCTTATGCCAGTTTGGCGTCAGGCAATCTATTGTGGAAACTTCTCGACTCGGTTGGACTTCACTCTCAACACTTCCATTACTTACTACGTAGAACAGCGCAATGACCTAGTACACTTGGACCAATTTATTAGTGTTGCTGAATACTGATAGGCTAAGTGACAAAATAATTTTTTGAGAAGTCTTAAAAAAATCATAACCCATTTTTAGAATATTGAAATTGTTTAATGATATTTCAGCTATGCATCGTTAGGGTAAGTTCCGATAAGTCGAACATGTTAACTAATTTAAAATGTTTTTAAAAGAGAATTTTGTGCTCTATTTTTTTCTACTTAAAACGAATATTTGTCCATGTGCCACTTGTCCGAGTTTTAATTAGTGGACGGCAGAATAGGTAAGTGAATTATTAATTTTTTGGTATTGTGTTCTTAAATTGATTCCAAATTTTAAATATGCCTAAATCCAAATATCAGTAGGTACCTACTAGTTTTGAAGTTTCTTCCTTTCTTTGACAAAATACCTACTATTTATTTTCAGTCTTTTGCCGGTCCTAAGCCCGTGAAATTATGAAGGAAAAATTGCATTTCCATTTGTAAATATGTATAATTAAAAAAATTTGATAAGAAATTTACAATAACATTTTAATACGATGTATAAAAACGTCGATCGGACGGTCTCCACAGCCTCCATGTTCCTGTCACATCACAGCCTGGTGTGATGATCAAATTCGATATTTACGATAATAACGGCTTTAGACGTCATAACTTTTTCATGTGCTGTGCAAGATCGTATGTCTTGACTGATCATCGTCATCATCATCTCATTTATACGTCCCACTGCTGGGCACGGGGTCCTTTCAGAAGAGGGTTTAGGCCATCGTCCGCCACACTGGCCCAATGCGGGTTGGGGACTTCACACGTTTTCCGAGGGTTGGGAACCTTCGACGTGCAGGTTTCATCACGATGTTTTTCCTTCACCGAAAAGCTCATGACACATTTCAAATTAAATTTCGCACATAAATTCTGAGAAACTCAGAGGTGCGAGTCTGGATTCGGAACCCTCTGCTTGAGAGGCAGTAGGTCAAACCATTAGGTTACCACGGCTTGTCTTGCCTAGTTACGACATATAGGTACGACAGTCAGTGAGAGAGAGAGATTCGTAGGATGTATCATAATATACGAAAAAAAAAGCAGTAGATACATTTTGACAATTAAACAACAAATTCAGTGAACAATTTTTATTAGAGGCACATTCAAAAAGACGGACAGCGCGCCGTCGACATTTATATTTACAATAACTACCCACAAATATTAGTGTTAAACTACTGAAATGAAATTATTAGAGAATTCCGTAGAAATGGCATTTTATGACTACATTTGGGTACACAAACCGTGTCGCCAGATTATTACCGTTACGCGGTTACCTGATATAATCAGCACCAAACGGACGGAACCTTGCTGATTGCGGACTACCGATATGAAACGCGAGGGTTAATTATTTCGAGTTTATTGGAATTGGGGTATTAACTATCAGTGCCATCTCAAGTTCTTACTTGAGAGGAAGCGTGATTGTAGATGATTCTAAGATATAGTGAAAAGAGAAATGCGTCTTGTTAATACTAAAGCCATTTGCTACAAAATGTATGTAACCTATAAATAAGCGCCGCAACACACATTACTTAGTTTTAAACAAAAAAAATGTATTTACTAAAATTGCCAGTTTAATTTGCTAATATTAAAAAATCTAAAAGTGCAGACTGAGCACTATTTAATGCCCGCAGAAGTACCCAGCATTAGTGCAAATAGATCAAATTCGCGAGAGTAGATCTAATTATATAATTATCTAAGGGTGCGTTCCCACGGCCCGTGATGTCAAACCGCCGATTTGTACGGGCGAGCTCGCAAAACGGACGAGTCCGGGCGGCCTCGGGCCTCACGCGTGGCGACGCGTATTCGAGAATTTATCGAGAGCTAGGCCGCGCCTTTGAAGTTACCGACCAGTGGTGGACCCGAACTGGGCGCCACGGTTCAGCACGGGCGCGCTCGGGCAGCCTCCTTCCCACGGCGCGTTTGCGCAAAACCGTTTGACTTCCCACGCCTGTAGAAACTCGCGTAACGTCGGAGGAGTTTTGTTCTTTAACACACTGCTCGTTCTCTAACTAGTTAGTATAGTCAGATTCTTATCAAATTCAACGATTATTCCCAATGATGTGACGACTGTGGACAGTTATAAAATGCCAATTTTACAGAAGAGTTAATTAATCCGTAATAGAAATGAAATCAGTGACTAGGTTACAGTAAAACCGCAAAGAACTAAAGGAATGTTGTCTGTGGATTAGTAGTTATTAAACATTCGTAAATACAGCAAATTATATAAGAGGACAAGCCTGAGTTGGAGCCAATCGCAATCATTTTTGCGATTACGAATATTTAATTACTACTTGGAATTAAGCTTAATCTAAAATAAAAAGAATAATTTTGTGGTTTTTGAAAACTGTTATTAAAACAGTTCATTTCTTAATGATCAGTCAGTATACGATATAGAAATTAATACTGTACACAGCAGAATAGGGCACAATATTAATTCATTCTGGAGATCTCCAATTACATTTTCAAGAACCACAATAATATAAAAAAGTAAAAATAATTATCTATCCCTAATTTGTAATTGATCTTCATGGCTTAAAATTATTAAATAATATTAAAAATCGTGCCATAAAAATATTATTATTATGCTTATTCACTCAAGTTACCCCGCAAAAAAGCTCAATTACGTTAAAGCGCGACATTCAATTTGCAACATGTTGGCCAATATGGGAGAGAAACAGCTATTGGGGCATTTAATATGTTGCTCTAGTTCCAAATCTAAAATTGATTCACTTTTCACTATCGCATAAATATGTCCTCTTTCACATAACATGTTGCACAATGAATGACTACATTATCAGTGTTGGAAGTGTTCAAAATCTACATATTTTTTAAATAGTTTATAGTGTTGCCAATCGTTAATCTAGTAATGTGAAATATTAAAAATTCAATGTGTTTTTTTTTTCGAATTCGTTTTTTTTGAAACTTATAAAATTTCGAAGGAAACACTAATATGTTTCAAATAAGAAACTATACTCTAGCCAAATTCGATGTAAAACAAAAACATGATTTTTAGGGTTTTCACCTCTGTTTTACATTTACAACAATTTCTATATCTTTCCCGAAATTTCATCAGACAATTGATAATATTATTATTGAGAGATTATTTTGTTCAATAAAATTTTCAAATCACTAGGAAGTAATTTGAAACTAACATAAGATTTACAAGTAATTAATTATTTGTAAAACTGTGACATCCCTAATGATTCATTCATTTAAAAGGGGAAATTGCAAACATTTATGCACTTTTGTAATACGTCTTTACATAAAAACATGCCTTACAGTATTCAAAGTAATAATTTTGTTATTAAACATTCTATACCTATCTAAATTGGCTAGAGTATAATGATATATGGAACGTAATTATGAAGTAATCAATCTAAAAGTAGTAGACCATGTAAATAGGCACATTAGAACATAACTGCACTATCATTATTATTTTTTATTGTATAAAGCTATATGTTCAGTCGATTGATAAAAATGTAGTAGTATAATGGAGGATAAGGAGGATACGGCTCGTTTTATTATAAAATCGTTCTATTGCATTTCCATCACAACCAGTGCTATCGTTCTAGATCATTGCATTCAAACATTTTTATTATATAAAATATTATCTAAAAAGTAAGACTGTTCTCTATAACTATAGATTGTTTTTTTTTCGGAATAAACGATCTACTCTGAGGATAGGTGTCAGCATCAAGCCTTATGAAAAAAATCTAAAGATCATACAAAATTATTATTTATTCTCAGTACCTTGTTGTTATTTATTTTGCAAGTAAATAAGCTTCACTTTGATCTTTTCTCTTCACTGTCCAGAGCACTCTCAGTTTAGTGTCAGTAAGCATTACTTAACTGTTCAGAGTCTTATTGTTTTTAAACCCAATAGAAAACAAATTATCCTCTAATTCAGAGATACAGTGAACTTTTTGAAAGATATAAAGTTGACAAGTCGACATTATAAAAACCAAAAGCAAAACGTGCACCTTATAATATAAACAGTATTAATCACCATTCGAGTTACAAGTTCAGGATGTTATAAAAGTAACTAAAAAACCAAGAATTTTTTAACATGCCTTTGGCCTTTAGGGTCAGCTGGAAAATCTACCTCTCTGTCATTTTTAAGTAATTGACAGAATGATTTAATAATTTTATTTTTGTCGAGATTCTGACAACCGAGCTTTCGTTCTACGATGTGTAACTCACTTTATTTTCTCATTGCAATGAAGTAAGATTTTTCTAACACCCTGAATAAATGTTACATAATATTTGTACAAACAAAGTTTTATAGTTACTTAATCTTAAAATCCTTTCCAAGTGTACTATCAATTCAATTCCACGTTTTTGCATTTACAACATTTTGTTTTTTCATGTTGCTCGTAAAAGTCGATAAATAAAAAAAATCGTGATCTGACAAAAATAAATCATGGTGTTGTTTCTTTCTTACATTGATTTGTTTACTTTCAATTAATTTTTATTCAAGCTTGAAATTATTATTTCTTTTCGTCAAATCACTGTAAACAAAATATAAAACGCGTATTAAAAATAAAACATCGAAAAACGAACAATTTAATCGACAACCCACTGCATGACGCTGGTGTCCAGCCCGCCAGTGCTGACGAGGCGCGAGTCGTCCGGTAGGAAGCGGACGCACGTCACATGCGACGAATGGCCGCCATATTGGTGACTCAGAGACTGAAAGAGAGAGGTTTTTTAGCTTTGCAGTTGGTCGAATCGATTGACGTCTATTCGGTGTTATTAAAAAACGATGCTTATTTATAGGTATAGACCACTATGAAAAAGTAAATATAACTTGAACCTTGGGTAATTGCTTTTTTTTATTTTCATGAATTTCTTTGATTCTTAAAAATCATTCGTATTCTTGGTGTGATAAAGCTACATGTGGTCGAAAGTGCTTTCATCACATAAAAGCCATAAAATAATAGGAACTATATACGAGTATGAAACAAATTATTGCACATTATAATGTGTAAAGCTATCAGATAATTCGGTTCGTAGAAAATCGCCTCCATTCTCCTAAATAGTTGTCATTAAGCAGATGTGACCTTATTACACCAATGGTGCAAATAAGTTTGTGTTTAAGCAGTGAATTCAATATGTTATAAAAAACTGATACTTATCGCTTGATAGTTTGTGTGTGCTTACACAATTAGGGTAGTTTTATATCACGATATTTTACTCGGTGAATTGCGATTCTAGAACTTGGAATTCTAAAATTGTAGGTTATTCTCCATAGTAAAAGTTGTTAGTACTGATGGGTGATAATGATGAATAGTCATCAACCTTTAAAATATCTTGAAATAAAAATGTCAGCCTGTATACGAAGAATGCAAGCAAAGATATGACTACCTTAGGCTGAGTGACAGGGTAAGCGTAGAGTTTGACTTTGCCGAAGTCGTCACCGGTCGCCGCCAGTTTAGCATCGTGAGACCTGAAAGGAGATCATGACTTGATAAAAACTATAATACATAAACGACAATGGAACATATGCATATAGCCTTGCCCATGGTTTTATTTTTATTCCTTAAAACCATGTATTAGGGGTTAAAGTATGAAATTGCCGTTTTATTGCAATAGGTTCTTTGAATTTTCATAGAATCTTCATGGTTTGAGGTTTTCGAATGAAACTTTTTTCAAATGGTTTCTGTGATTTTTTTTTTTTTAATTTGAAACATTTCAATATCGACTTTCAATTGTTTTTGTTATTCAATTTAGACAAGAAAGATGGATACTGCGAAAATTCGAGTGATTTTTGAATACGAGTTCCGACGCGGAACTAACGCGGCAGAAACAGCCCGCAATATCAATGCTGCGTTTGGAGAGGGTTCTACTAATGAACGCACCGTGCGATTTTGGTTTAAACGCTTTCGTGATGGAAATTTCGACTTAAAGAACGAGCCACGAGGAAGACCGCCCACACAGGTGAATAACGATGAATTAAGAGAGATAGTGGAAGCCGATCCTAGTCAAACTACCCAGGAATTAGCGGCATGGTTTAATGTTACCTTACCCACAATATTGACTCACTTGCGTCAAATCAATAAAATAAAAAAATACGAAAAATGGGTGCCTCATGATTTGACTGATCTGCAGAAAGAAACGCGTGTTGAAACTTGTGTTGCCTTGTTGAACCGGTACAGAAATGAAGGAATATTGGATCGAATTGTAACATGTGATGAAAAGTGGATTCTTTATGATAACCGGAAAAGAAAAATGCAATAGCTGACCCCAGGTCAAATGCCACAACAGTGTCCTAAAGCAAAACTTACCAATAAAAAGGTATTGGTAACTGTTTGGTGGTCTCAGCATGGTGTTATTCACTATAGTTTTCTCCGATCTGGTCAAGCAATAACGGCAGATGTCTATTGTGCCGAACTCCGCACCATGTTGACAAAACTAGCAGTAAAACAGCCCCGACTCATGAATCGATCTTCACCGTTATTGCTCCACGACAACGCGAGACCTCACACAGCACGAGAAACCATTTTGACCCTTCAGGAACTGCAGTTAGAAACCATTCGTCATCCTCCGTATTCACCAGACCTTGCTCCAACGGACTACCATTTTTTTCGTGATTTGGACAATTATCTACGTGACAAGAAGTTTTCTTCCCAGGAGGCAGTACAAAATGCTTTCACACAGTTTGTGCAGTCTAGATCGTCGGAGTTCTATCGCAAAGTCATTAATAACCTTCCCATTAGATGGCAGCAATGTATAGATAATAATGGCAACTATTTTGATTAAATAAATTTGTTAAAAATTTAAAAAATAAACAATTTAGATTTTCAGTACAAATCGGCAATTTCATACTTTAACCACTATTATATATAACATTACATTTAGATTCATTTTTTCATGACGTTAAAATAATGTGAGGATTCGAAAATGACTTAGTGGTGCAGATGCTTCCGACCTAGGTTGTCATTGCTATCCGTTCGTTACGTAGTATATAGGCAAAAAATTAAGAAAGACATTTAAAAAAAAATTGATTCTGTTAAAGTTCTCTTACCTGGTGCAGGTATTGATATCTGTGCCGTCGGCGTTTTCGGGCCACACCCCGATTGTTTGGAAAGTGATGGGGCAGGTGTTGGTGGCCCAAGACACGTCACGCATTTGTGTTGCGGAGGTAATTTGGCGGCACGTTGTTGCATTCCCTGTAGAAAAAAAAACAATAATATACTGGCTAACAGCCAGCTCAGAGTACAAATTAACAGAAAGTTCGTTAATCGAAATTAAATTAAAATACGAAATAAAATATTGAAGTAATTTTTTCCAAACAAAAGGCCAATGGGTCAAATGAACATTGTTATCAGAACAAATTCTTAGGTTTTCACAGTATTTTCTAGAGCAATTAATAGTAAAAATACACAAATATTTAAATAAATCAAATTTACTGGCCTTTTTTCACAGGCCCAATAAGGGCCCGAAACATTGCTTTGTTTGAAAAAAAAAAACAAATATACGCGATATAGATCCGAATTTTTTAAAATTATTATTATTATTATTATTAATTAGTTATCATAAATCAACGTTTTTTTTAGCGATCCTGAGTGTTTACTTACAGTACAGAAGTTCATAATCTCCGGAGTTGCTCCTAATATACTCGCTATCTTCAGACCAGTCCAAATGTGTTATGTAGCTTGAATGGCCCTGGAATAGCATTTCAAGTCTTAAACTGGTGGTTCAGTTAAAACAAGAAGAGAGCAGTGAAACTGTTAATGCCAGACAACTACCATGTACAGGGTATTAGTAAAAAGGCTTTCGAACTCTATCATCAACATTGGAATATTATTTCATAGTTTAATAAAAAAGATAAATTCTTATTTATTTCATTTACTTATTTCATATTTACACATTCTATCAAATGCATAGTAAGACACTGACCCTTAAGGGGTTTAAAATCTGGCAAGTGAAATAAATGTACGTACTTATAAGGAGTCTTCAATGAGTACATCATTATATTAATTTATCTAAAAGCAATGTTATTATTTTTTCCATTTTAAAGTTCAGTATCCTGGACACTAACACCCTGTGTTATAGGGCTTACTAAATATTTAACACACACACACTAATATTTCTACTCTATGGATGCGTATCTCAATCAAACAACCTACGACAAAAGCTTTTGGGATACTTCTAAGATTGAATACTGTTGGGATTTCATACACAAGAGCATTAAAAATATGTTATACTTGCAATATTTAAATATTTATTTTATTGAATATGAATATCATGATGCTTTTCCTACCACGATATTCATAATATTTTTTGTGAAAATATTCCACTAGTTTGTTATTACAAACACTGAACAAAGAAAGAAAAATTCCTTCGATTAGATTGGAGTTGTACCAGCGTCTCTCATCGTGGCTACGGTACGTTACGTAGGTACCATTGCGTTTGTTCAATCTTTGTGTCAACAATATGTTATATTTATTTAAATGTTACTTCAGGCTACAAACAGTTAAATAACATTACTATAATGGGTGTTACTAATGTATAAACCTTTCTGTTTTATTAAATATTGTTTAAAAAAATGTAGGTATAGCACGTCTAAAAAGGCCGCATTGGCAGAATCATAATATGATTAATAATATTATTAATCATATGACATTTCATATTATGAATTTTAAAACAAAACAAAAAAGGCTATTTGTGTTTATTAATTGCGTTATAATGAATTGTAAGAAATTCATAATACGAATTGTCAATTAACCATATCATGATTCTGCCAATACGACCTTTTTAGCCCTGCAATACTTATTATCTTTTAATGTTTAAGCATTGAAAATATTCGAGTTTCACGGAAACAGACGAACATTGAGGTCTTTAATACCATTTATGTTCGCTGATCTAAACATTTTTTATTATCTACTAACAAAGAGCTATGTGAACAGACTAAAGGAAAAGTTATACAGTCACTATTCACTATCAGATTTACATGAAATATTGTCTATGGTATTACTTATATGTGGTGTACGAATATTTCTTTTCAAATTCTCACAATTCTGAGAATTTAAAAAATCTTGTAAAGACACTGGTGCTCATGAGCAGTTGGCTGTATGACAGTTTTTCTTTAGTATGTTTCTAAGAACAATAACCTACAATAAAGGTTATTGTTACTAGGTTTGTTTACATAGTCTTTGCTATTAGATATATTTAAAAGTTTAGAGCAGCGAACAGTAATAGATTTTCATTCATATTTTGCCGGCTTAGGCTGGCAAAGAGTTACATGCATAAATGACAAACTTTGAGGGTTATTTTTTTTAAGTAACGCAAACATTACCGAGCGTTTTTAGAAAAAGTCATATATAGAGTTGGCACAGCGTTTGGAAATATTATTGACTTCTAAATTATTACAATGTTCAATGTGTTTCTCTGTATCTGAATTGGCATCACTTTACCAGAAACTCGAATCGCTCTAACGTTAAAAAATAGTGCAGTAGTTATACATAAGTATATTTCGACACGGGGGCAGTATACGTATGTGTACATGTAATAGAAGCCTGTATAAAATTTGAGAAGTGTTAAATACAAGCTGGGATCATGCACGATTATAATGTTCAATGTTACCCTTCTACGTTTTCTCTCCGTACACTAGAAATGCGTGAAATCATGTTTGAAATCAACATTTAAATATTGTTATGTTTGAAAACTGCAACAAAGACCTGTGAGGTCTTGGATGATAATATAAAGACGTAGTCACATGAGCTCATTTCCACTGCATCACAATTCTGCCCTCGATTACTAAAGTAATCGACATTTTTAGCGAAATTAGATTCGTTGAAATTAGTTCATTTACTAAGATGCAAATGCGTTAGTTATAATAAGAATGGCAGAATTGTAAACTGCGGTTGAAACGTAGTTTAAAAGCTTTGCAGTCGTGCCAAATGCATTCAAATTGTTTTTCGACTGCAATTCCAACTAAATATAATTCCTAAGCTATATAGATACTTTTAGATACTTTTGCCGCATTTCATTATTTACTGATTTATACAACAAATTTTTTTTAAATATGAAAACGATTAAAATGAGCTAAATAAGCAATTTCTGAAAACGATTTCAAAAGGGTAGTTCTATTATGTATGTTAATAGTTATATCATGCAAGTTGGTTAATACCATAGATATAGGAAGTAGGCCGTTACCGAAAACTTGCCATTCTAAAAAATTTTTTCATTGGCAGATGCTGAATTTAATTTCTTTTTTAATTCAATCCAACATTTAACTGATGGTAGAGTTCTCTGCCCACACATGTATAGACCGTCTACCTGCCCATCACAATTGACTTGTTTCTGCAGTGAAACGGCACTGCATTAGTCGAGATTGAAGATCGCCAGTGAACGTGTTTTGACACAATGATACTTAAATTAGCAGTGGAGCTCCTTGTGAAAGTGTTCGTCCAGGGAAGTACTGCCACCTTACCTATTTTTGCCGTCAAGTAGTAATGTCAGCATTATTGCGTTTCGGTTTCGAAGGGTGAGGGTGTTGGTGAAATTACAGGCACACGGGACTTGTCAACTTATGTCCCAGGTTGACGGGCGCAGTGGCAGTGCCCCTCAGAACTTTGCGGTTTAAAGTCTGGCGTTTAAGGCGTGTAGCTTACCATCATTTGCACGACTTGTTCGTTCCGTCACTTGATATTATAAAAAAAAACAAAGCATAATTCCTTCGATCCGGCTGGGCCCGAACCAGTGTCTGTTGCCACCTCAGGGCCACGGCTGACTCGGTATGTAGCTTAGTTCGAAGGAATTTTTCTTACTCTAAGATACTTTTTTATTGTTTTTCTTTAAGTGGACTATCAGATCGTTGACTTGGTTATTTTATATACCGTAAAACAAATTATGAATGAGCGTCCTGCTTTTTGTGTCATCATCGAAACATCTCATATCGTCTCTAAGGAGCGGGCTTAGGCCAATGCGCGTTGGAAACTACGTACGTTTTCCAAGGACTGAGAGACGACGTAGACATCACATCACGATGTTTTTGTTCACCGTGAGCTAAAGGATATGCTACGAAATGTGGAAATTAAAATGATAGGTCCATAAACATCGACCTCTATATTAAAAACAATTGTTTTCCCACTGTACTTTTTGTATGGGGAGTTATTTTTTTAAGAACTGGTTAGTCATAAAACTGCCTCTGTGGCTGAACGGTTACCATGCCGGCCTACCACGCAGAGGTCTCAGGTTCGATTTCCGGGAGAAATATTTCTATGGCCTTCATTTATTTCTCTCGTGAGTTTGGGTGTAATTTGTGGTTGTCTATATGTGTGTCCATGGCACCCGCGACACAGGGTTTCCCTAGAGCGGGGCTATGTTGAGTGTGTGCGTTATTATTATTATATTATTATTATTAAAAATTTCATTCTCTCATAAGTTTGGGTGTAATTTGTGGTTGTCTATGTGTGTGTCCATGGTACCTGCGACACAGGGTTTTTCTAGTGCGGGGCTACGTGTGCATTATTATTATTATTAAAATTGACTAAGAAGAATGCGTGATCAACGTTTTCAGCAACGGCCTACTAAATACCTTGTGAAATTGTAAAAGTATGAAATACCCAATTAACGACAATGACAAGTAAAACTTACCAAGCACTTCCCGAGTCTTGAATACCTCGTGCAGTTGTCATCCACCTGGTAGATATAGATGAAGTTGTCTCGCGAGCCCAGAGCGACCAGCTTATTGTTCGGAGCAAACTGTATGGTTTGAATTGGCTCCGAACTGGGTAAGGTGGAAAGTTTTTAATGAATAAATGTACCATATAATCACCAGAACCACAGCAACGATAACTCTGAAGGTAGTCAAGAGCACCAGAACCAATATAACAATTTTGCTTTTCAAATTGGTCAGACTAATCAAGCCTGGGTCCTCGTAGCTAAGCATCCAGAGGTTGGTACGCTAGGCTCTCAAAGTCGCTGATTTTGGATTTTTTCATCTAGGGTCATCGTTAGCTATTCATCGGGTATAGATTTACATTTTATATAGGTGGAAGGTGCCTCTGGGTAGATGCATAACTAGTTCACGGTGAACGACGTCTTGCAGTGTCTTTGAGCAGTTCAAAAACAGAGTCCACGTTTCGGTGCTTCCGTTACGATACGTACAAATAGGGTATGGAATTCTATTTGATCATTTCCCGACAAATATAACTCAGGATTTTTGTAGGCGTTACTATTAAGTGAGAGCTAGATCTTATTAAAATGGCGATAATAAAAAATGAGCTAACCCATCGTGGTGCTGGGCGAGCAGCTCCCTGGAGTGAGGGTCGTAGACCATCCACTTGCCGGAGAGGCAGCCCACGGCGATGACGCTGCCGTCGGCTCCCCAAGCGCAGCACTGTGCGCGCTCCTGTGGCGTACGACATACATGCACTCGAGAGTCGGTATTAGATTACTTACGTAGTTTATACTTTATATTATCTTTCCATTTTCTCCCATCCTCGTACGTTTCTCTTAATTGTAAACGGTTATTTTATTTGTAGAACCATCCAATGTACATATACGGATTCTACAAAATATATTAAATGTTTTACGACATAATCTTCAAGAACAAACGACAATAAATTTGTAACTTTTTTAGCTTTTATAGCAATCCTGTTTTGATGAGCACGATCGACTTGTTCCGATGAAAAAATCAGTACTTTTTTAAAGCATCATTCATATTGAAGCAAATAATTTTATAAGTACATGAAATTGTCATGTCGTCTATTTTGTTTTCGGCCATTTTGAACATTTTAAATTTCAAGTGATACGAATTTAAATCGACGCGTTAATTGTAGCGCTAGGTCACAAGCAAAATAGTTGGTTAATTAATGTCCAACCTCAATATCTTTGCTCCAGACGGTAGAATGACTGAGTCCGTCCCACAGTTGCAACAGCCTGTCCCAGCCTGCAGACACGAACTGGGGCAAAGATGGGTGCGTTGCAAGGCCCCAGAGCTCATCCACGTGACCTGGAAACAATCATAATATAACTTTCTGACTTCAGATTAAAAAAGGAGAGATTTTTAAATCATAATTTGTGTGCGTGTGTTCCTAACGCCGAGTTATCGGACCTTACAAGACATAAAAGGAAAACTTGAAAGTATATTTCATTCATGCAATATGGTGCTGACTGATGTTCATTACAGAAGTGGTTTAAGTCAAACTGGTGATTTTTTTTGTTTCTTTGGCATGATGAGAAACAGCGTTATGCCATAGTATATAAGACAAATGTTATACGTCGCTCGGACAGGGTTGTCATATTAATATTTTAGTCGTACCTACAGGTTGTAAACAAATTTCGAAAAAAATAAGTATTCATCACAGTATTCTCGTGCTATTAAAATAACCTTTGTGAAATGTAGTATTTACATATAGATATTTTTACACCAGCGTCGCGGATTCATATTTGGGTAATGAAATGGAAATAAAATCCTGAACAATTATAAATTTGAAACCCTCTTGTTCAAACAACCATAGATACAACAATGAACACGTTTACTATTTGATGTCATTTTTCAAAAACCGAAAGTAAGCTTCACTATTATAATGAAAATCGAGTTAGAAGAACTTTGCTACGCGAGTTCACCGCGAGATAATATGTGAAAGTGTGCTTCTGCACACCGTTCGTTCTACGGAGTTAAAACTACTGTTCTTATTATATTGGGTTTTTCAATAAGGACATAACACTTTTGTATTTCAATAGAACACAGAATGATTGAGATATCGAGCTAAAATTTATTCCAGATGCAGTACATATGTTACGTTTAAGAATGGAATTCGCTCTCGTTCATATGACTACCGCGAGAACGTTTGCAGTTTGGTCAAACAATCGATCTATTGAAGAGGAAGTTCTCTTCTCGCTACATGGTCTGATCGGATGGCCACCTCACTCATGCGATTTGACGCCGTTGGATTACTTTTTATGGGGTTTCGTAGTCTTTGGTTTATGCCAACAAGCCAAAAACATTAAATGGGCTCAGGACAATATCTACTGCGAAATTTACAACTTTATATTTTATTATATATTACGTATGTCGAAATTGCCAAGTTTACAGGGGAGCGTTTTAAAGTTCTGAATTCACTGTAACGAGTATAACACGCGACGTTAGCATTTTTCAGTTATTATAAAATCCTTGATACCAGTTAGATGATCTGTTAGATGATCACTCTAATCTAATCTAATTTAACTGCCTCAGTGGCCGAACGGTTATCATGCCGGACTGCCGCGCAGAGGTTCCGGGTTCGATTCCCGGGCCGGGGGAAATATTTGTATGGCCTACATTTATTTCTCTCGTGAGTTTAGGTGTAATTTGTGGTTGTCTATGTGTGTGTTCATGGCACCCGCGTCACAGAGTTTCTCTAGTGCGGGGCTATGTTGAGTGTGTGCGTTAAAAAAAAAACTATGTGAGTAACGAGCTTTGCCGAATAAAACTGAGAAATGCTAAAGTCACGTGTTATGCTCATTTCAGTGAATACAAAAGTTTAAAGCGATCCCCTGTAAACTTGGTAATTCCGACATACGATACTTTACGTAGGAGGGGGGTCGATGTGTGGAAGAGTGGTGGAAAATTGGCTTCAAAAAATTGAACGCTGCAAACGTCCTCTGGTGGTTATATGAACGAGATCGATTCCATCCTTAAATGTAAAATGTTCACTTTACCTGGAACAAATCTCATATCGATATCTCAATTATTCTGTGTTACATTCAAATACAAAAATGTTATGTCCCTATTAAAAAAATCCTATACTATGGTTACACTGAGGGACCCTAACCCAAAACGGCAGGTGAGAATCCGAGTTGTAAGTCTCCATGCAGGACGCAGTTCTTGGTGGTGCCGATGAACAGTTGACTGCCGCGGCCTTCGGCTATCACGCGCACTCCGCCGTAGTGACCTTCGATCTGGAATTCGTTAATCAATATCAACATTACAGTCATTATGTTATTCTAAATCGTCCCAAAAGTAAATAAATATTCAAGAAGTTTATTAACGTAAAATTTTTGGTGACACCAACTGTCTGTATTGTCAGTAGAAATCAAAACATGGCGAGGGTTCATCGTTAACTGTCATCCTTTAACTGATAAGTGCAATATTAATAATAATGTGTCAGATTATCACACCAATATACCTGGTCTAAAACCAGGTAATTTCCTTTGTAATGAGTACCAGGGTAACAAAATAAACTCTGATGGCATTTCGCAACGTATGCGGACCAGAGTAAATGGGTTGGACTTGAAATTGAACTTGGGGTTTCCTACCTTGAGCCTAGACCGCTAACGCGCTGGGTCATTGATCTCATCTTTTCATCTTTCAGAGAGTATCTAATAAATTAAGGACTAAATCAGGATTTGGAAAGCTTCGTTTCTCTCATTATGTCTTTGGTTGTAATTGTCATGCAGAGGAGTAATGGAAATCGTACTTTTTGGAGCGTTCTTTTCCAGCTTTTAGTGATAGGATGTCGGAATGGTCGTAAAAGGTCATTCTTTCACTTTCATAAAAGGTCCATATCATAACTCTGTGAATATGTTTACAGAGGGTACACAAATCGTACTTTTTGTGCCGTTCTTTTCCAGCTTTTAGTGACAGAATGTCAGAATGGCCGTAAAAGGTCATTCATTCAATTTCATAAAAGGTCCATATCATAATTCTGTAAATAAGTTTACAGAGGGTACCAACATGGTGCATGCGATAACACACACTGTCACTGCGTAGCCTTTAATTTTAAAGGGTACTTACAATGTTCTCGAGACCCGTAGCATTCATATCAGCGTCGAACATAACAATTCTCCCATCTTTGCCACCTCCGGTCACGATATTGCCCTCTTTCAGGCAACAAACAGAAAAGACTGAACCGTCGTGGACGCCACGAACCAGCTTCAGAATGGTGTTGGTACCGCGGCCCCACACGATTATGTTGCCACTCGAGTCGCCGCTTAAGACATCACCTGAAATTAAAATTTCGTAAGGACCAAACCATCGTGATGAAAACTGAATGTCGAAGAAAGTTGCCGAAATCCCGAACCCGCATTGGGCCAGGGAGGGTCTAAAGCTTAAAGCCTCTCCTTACAGGAAACTCGTACCCTACAGTGGGTCGTCTAATAACTTGGTAATGCTGAAGTAAGAACTCTAAAGGTCGCTATATGTACGGGACGACACACGATCAGTCGTTTCGGATTAATCGATACGACAAATAATAAATCTTTATTGAGCAATTGTCTTTAGCGTGGGGAATCTTAACATTACGTGATATTATTTTGTGAGGAACATTTTAAGATGAAGCTGAACATTAACGCCCGTACTAATTTTATAATAAAACTGTATGACAAAATAAGAGAACTGTACGAATCGATAGTATATTTTTATATTTGTCTTCAAGGTTCGTCGTTTCAAACTGATTGACACGACATTGATTGAAACGACATTGAATCGATTGTGTACGCTTATGTCATAGTAAAATAAAAGAAGTATGGTAACTCCGTACAAAGTAACAGCTCGGCTTGTATGTGTGCGTGACCGCCGCATGCATTGTACGGAAGCAAACATTCTCAATTCGACTGTATTTTTTTGTATTGTTACGCGTTTACTCCGATATTTGTGAGCCGATTTCGATGATTCTTTTTTTTGTTGGAAAGGGTTGGATTCCTCAGTGGTGGTGCCATTTAAACCTCAGTAGTGGTCTCAATTAAACCTCAGTAGTGGTCCCATTTAAATGTGAAGAAAATATTTCACCTCTAAGGGTGGCAAATTAGGAAATGAATCCGGTTTATTGGATTTTACCCACTTGTTTAAAATCGTTTTCTATGAAACTTGGCCAATAGATGTAATTCCACAAACTTTTGAGGTCGTAATCAATGATTTAGCTAGATACAAGTCGATGTTCTAGATTTAACCGTGTTAAAAAAACAATCGCTTACCATTCTGGGTGAACCCAAGACACGTGACGTACTTGGGCTTGTCACGGGTCTCGAAGACGCCCATGCGCTTGTACAGCATGTTGGTCTGGTCGAGAGTCCAGAACGCGATGTGGCTCTTCCCACAGGTTACTATTTGGTTGCGGTCTAGTGGGTGGAATTCTGCGGCCACCACAGTGTCTACGGAACACTGAAACACAAAAAAAAGTTAGAGATTTTGAACGAAATAGAAGTAATTTACTATGCTACACCGAGAACTGTGAAGTGAAGATTAAATCGCAGACAATAGCTACACTTATGTTGAATATACTGATTTTGATCAAGTGTAAAATAAAAAAATCACATTGACAAACTCATTGAAGGCATACTGTCAAACTAAATTATAAAAAAACTGTAATACAAAATGTTATTTTTTTAAATTACTGAATAATGTAATTGAAGAACAAATTAATAATATTACAATTATAAAATGTACCTAGACATTATAACGTGCCAAACAAACACCAATTACTTGATTTCAAACTGGGGAAATTTCTGTACTATAAGTACCGGAGCAATGGAATTCAATCTGGGGCACATATCAGGAACACCCAGACCAGAAACAATTTACAAAAGTTGATTTCCCAAATTAGATTATTACCCGGGGGAACCCGGGTACGATTCTCCGTATCTCCTCATCCAGCATCCACAATCCAAACCGTGATCGCAGGGGGCGCAGTACAATTCGATATAAAAAAAATGACATTTTGGTGAAGTTGCTAACGACTATGAACTCTGTAAACTCTTGGCAGAGGTATTTTCTACCATCTCTCTCACAGAGCTCCTTAAACCGAATATACAAGAAGTTTTTATAAATTTACCTTAGTCTCAGCAATGCAATGCTTATCAGATCTTTGCCATTCCCAAACCGAGATGGTATGGTCTGTCCCTTCATCAACGCAGGCCAGTAAGGCACCACCGTCAGCCCTTGAAAAGGTGACACAGGCGACTGCGCGCTCCATTTGGCCTGCGCCGATCACCGCTAGAGTTGCTAGGGATACTGAATTCCATACTCGGACGTGGGGCTAAAACAGACAAAAACAGTGCGCGTTAAAAATGTTTGAATAATTGGTCTTCTTCTTATCGTATCGATGGAATAAACTATACTATTGTGTAATCCAGGTTAGAATTGTCCGAATATCCCCGCCTGAACAAATTATCCTAACTTCGTGTCCACGTGGAAAATATATCTTTTGATCTAAACGGTTCAAATAAAAAAAATATAATGAAGCTGAAAATTATTTGCGAGTCTCGATCTAAGTAAGCCACCTACTTAAACACACGCTCACACGCACGCACGCACGCACGCACGCACACACGCACGCACGCACGCACGCACGCACGCAAACATATTCACACACACACACACACACATACACACACATTGTTAATTTTAATTAATCAACATAATAAGCTCAGTACTTAATCTAAGTAATAACTGTACCGGTTTGCGGTGGCTTCTGATACAAGTATTTTCATAGTTAAAAGAAGTTCACCAGCAATTATATAAGTAAACATTAAGTAATTTTTTTTTAGATGTTCAAATTACACAATTACTTATGTAATCTCCAAATATTATCAATGTATCAATCACATTGTGAGGGAACTCTTGTGAAGAATGATCAAGAAATTAAGGGTTGTGCTTGTACGTAAATAGAGATTTCACAACACATTTATCAACATGACGTTAATACCTAATCATAGTTAGAACAATCTGAAAGAACTAAGCGGATCTCTCAGGAGGAATTGATTGCTTTTGTCTGATCCAAGTGTGCATCAGAAAGTGATCAATCTTTTGTTTAACGTACATACCTAGTATCGGAACTTTGAAACAAGTAAATGGCAAACTTTGTTATAGAACCGTATAAATTGCCTTTTAAAAGAATTAGTGACTATAAAGAAAAGTTAATATGTTTTTGTTTCTTGTGTTAGTGTTATATATATAATTAATTTTAATTAAAAATATAATATTATTTTTAATAGAAATTTCATTTTCATTTCATAAAAAATACCGCGACCATACCGCGACGCTAAAATATCGTCGTTATTCGTTAATTAACATTGTTGTGGCAGACAGCCAGTGGATGAACAGGAAAATCTACAAGGGTTCGTTTTTCTACGTAAATCTATAGCGATTTTTAAGAATATCTGAGGGGTACACTACTATTCGTTTCCTGTACATATGGTGCATTCTGGGCAACACCTTACGCCGATTGGCAAATCCTTTCATCACGATGAGAATGCCTTACAATGTACGCCATCGATACGATAAGGAATAGAGATAATCTGTTTTATTTTGTAATAAATTTATCACAATAGATATTACATAACTCGAGTAGTGAACATAAGTGTAGAAGGCTGAAGACAAAGTGTGGTATCTTGAATATGTGGTACCCAACAAGTTCTTTATTTCCTCTAATGATGCCTACGATACAATACCCAGAGCCGACCATTCTAGTAAGTACCAATTGTCAATGTTCGATAAACGATGTTTCCCTCTCGATTGTGGGAAATTTAACAGTATGCATCGAGTTGTACTTTGTACACATTGTCCCGGATTGTTATACCTATACATACCCTAGCGTCCAATCGATCATGTCCTGCGCACTGCCCACTAGCAATAATCAGCTTGTTGGGATGCACAGCGAGGCATTTGACGTCATCCGTATGTCCAGTGTAGTGCCTCTGACACTGTTCTTCGACGTTGAAAAGGATGACCACTGCGGCCACGAAGTACACGATCTCACCAGTTGGGAGAAGGTATAGATTGCTGCGGCAATCTTTGCCTCTGAAACAAACAACATTGATTGGGTTTTGTTTTGTGAGTACTTTCTTTATAAAAGTTACCAAGACAGCGAAAGAGGTAACCGAATTTAAGTACTTTTTCGGTTACCGTTACCCATAAACCTCTTACTTATAGTATTTTATAAATTACGCCTTATGTGTGTGCAACGACGTAAGAATTTTATGTACAATTTTGAACGCTCTGAAACGCGTGTAATATGACTCTGTACTCCAAAGACCCAGCAAACTACAATAATGGGAATAGCGCCCACGCCCAGTGTATATTACAATGTATTTTTCTAGATACCCTATGGTCATATTATAAAATACATGGCGCTTCCATTGTAATGTATAATGGGCGTTCACGTGATCATAAGAATAATATTGTCTGGATCTGAATCAGTTCACATGTTATGTACAATTTGATTAGGAGGTTACTGTAAGCTAGATAATTGCTTCGGGAGAACCCTTGGAATGAAAAACCATGATTTGAGTTGGAGTCCCTATATGACAAGAGCCGTTACAGTAGGTAGTGTTTTTCGAAAATTATGCAATTTAAATTTTAAGTCATGTAATGTCAAGATAACGGAGGTATACAATACTAGTTCGAAGACCAATTTAATATACATGATTACGCACACTTTCTTCGACTGTAAGAAAAAAGCACACTTTCGGAAAATGTCGTCGTCGACACAACTTATCAGCTGTTTCGGCAGTCTAGTAATAAAAAAATTTCTAGTAGTTCTTCAGCAATGTAAAATAATAAGCATGTAAACGTCCTTGATGGGACTACCTAATACGAGCTAGTAAGTAGTACAAAGCTGGGAACGTCTCGTTATTACACAGTTGGTTGGCCAAGCAGCTAGATCACGTGTGACCTTGCTTCGTGCTTTGTTTGCAAACCAGACGGCCGTTTTTGTTGTTTAAGAGCCGGAAATTGAAAGGATTAGGATGCGCATTAAAAATTAAAACAAAAATGTTTGCATTAGCAGTAGTGTATTACGCAGAGATGGTAATAAATATATATCTACCTAAACTTCAAATATGCAATAGTCGCACAACAATTTGTTAGTAAGCGGAGATTGTAGCAGGCCATATACTCGACGTAACAGGCCCATAGTAAGTAACAAAATATGATCTAGCCCTTAAACGCCATTGGTTGACAAGAATATGTAATTAGCAAGCAGCCACCACAGACCGCCGTTATTTGCATGCAAAAAGAATCCTTAAGGTGGTAAGTATTCGACTTTCCTGTACCTAACTCATTGTATGTACAATATTATGTTACTAAGTCTTAATATGTACGATGGTTAAGAAAATACAAACTGTTTTAGGCCATGTTATATTGACGTAAAGGAGTTTAACCTTAATTAGATTTAGAAAAAAGCGATAAACTTTTAGATCAAACGCCAGCGTTTATTCCGGATGTTGCGTGTAGCATTAGTACCTGGTTCTGTGGTAGGTGTAGGTATTTATATTATATTACGCACTGAATGTAGTTTAGTTATAAAGGCTAGATTATTTAAAGGTTGATTCTGCCTCATTAGTTCGTACACCCGTCTAAAAAATATCAGCTGACTTTATATTCGATGTTTTTAAAGCCGCCGATTCGACTGCAATGTGTGTGACAGTTTATATAACGATTTATGGGCTTTTAATATCCCATTGTAATAGAGCTGGGGGAGCCCAGGCAGTGAGTCCAGGAATTTGAATCCCTGTGGCGGCTACTTATGATATAATTTCGAATCATGTAGGAGTATTTAGTAGCAATATCTCTCGTTAATGATGAAGGAAAACATTGTGATGAAACCTGCACGTCGAAGAAGGCTCTCAATCTTTGGAAAATATACGAAGTCATATTTCACATTCATTCGTCGACTTTGACCTAAACCCTTCATGCTCTGGCCATGCCTATAGGCGGAACCCGGAACGCTTCTGCGGCCGCCTGTGTGGCCTGAGCATTAAGGAGATCCGTGCCTAGTTAGTAATGGGCCGATAACCGGTGATGATGATCATAAAAATTGTTCGTATTGGTGGACAGAATCTCCTAAAATATTGTAAAATAAAAAAACAATCACCCTGTATTGTAAACTACGAAGCAATTTAGAACGCTGAACACTTTAGCCCCAAAAAACTAACCAGGTTAAGTGGAATACTATAACTAGTCAGGGATTTTCTTAACAAGTTCTTATTACATGGTTATTTAATATTGTTTTTGTAAGTAATTAGTATAACGTTCAAGGATTTTTAAAATATTTTTTTAATTTTGTTCAAAACGCTCTGGGGTCGAACCTGCGTCTATATTTAAGGCAACATGTTTAACAAACGAGTGGAGCACGTTCACATAAAATAAATGAATATCATTCAGTAAAACATCTCCAAATAAAATCTACATTAAGTATACTTAGGAATAAATGCAGTTAACGTATTATTACGTATGTTCTTATATAAAAAAAGTACATTATATAAGCGAAAACATAACATTTAGGACAATTAAACATGTAATTTAAATACCTATCCACATAGGGGAAAAAATACAATACTAAACGGTATGCTGTGCACTTATTATTTAACCGCTATGTGTTTTACACATAAGGAAATGTTTATTCAGTAACTCAAGTGAAAACCCAGACGGTGAGTGATCAAGGCGTAACCAAGTGAGAACAAAAAGTTACCTTGAAATTTGGCTAAATGCAGATATTTCCTATTCCATTTTGTTTTGGCTGTCGGTAATTTTATTTCTGTCCTTTTGGACTCTGTTACTATTCCTATTATTATTTTAGGTGAGTAGAGGTGGGGGCCTGGTGACCTAAATCACAGGACATTCCAGTTTAGGCTCCAACAACAATAAATTCAATTGTACTACTAATCTTAGATCTATACTTTTTTCATAACTTACGAAGAGAATAAAGAGGTTCAGGTCTAGGAACGGCAGAGCTCCTTGTGAAAGAGTACGTCCAGGGAAGTATGCCACTTTACCTATTTCTGCCGCCAAGCAGTAATGCTCATATTACTGCATTCCGGTTATGAAGGGTAAGGGCGCTGGTGAAAGGCACAGTGACAGTTCCCCTTAGATCTTTGTGAAAGCTCTGAGTGGCACTGCATATGTTATGGATAGGCGTAGCTTACCACCAGGCGCACGACTTGTACATTCCGTCCCTCGACATCGTCGACTGTCGATATCATGAAAAAACTTATGTCGTTATTAGTACCAACTATTTACTTTATAGAAAATAGCTCTCAATTTGTTTCGAGTATGAACAATTAAAGAAATTGTAATGGCAACATTGGCAGCCGTGACGGGAGGAGCATTCGTGCTTTTACACTAGCAGATGCCTAAACGATCATCGGTTAGATTCTGTCCTGAAGCAAAACAAACGACAAAATTCCAACTATAAGTAGGCATTTTCAAGCCTTGTGAATCGGCTTCAAGTCTCATTACTCTTAATTACTATAAATATAGAGGTAGAATATGGGTAGAATGGAAGAAAAGTGATATTATTTTAAGGCCAAGGTCAGAACATGAAGTCATACAACTTTTACTGTGAACACCAAATCACGTTCCATACGAAACTCTTGGTTCATCTTCTTGGTTTCATTTATTGAACATGCCCTACAAATAGCTTGTATTAATTTTATAGGGACTTTATACCTTGAAACAGACGTGACTAACCACTATAAACTGAAATTCATTGTCCAATTTTCCAATTCTAGTCAAGTACGGTTCTATTACCGCCTACACTATAAATTATATTCCCTAAACGGCATTCACGCTAGATCACGTCACACTTTTCCCAGGGTATCTCAGTTTATGTTTATTTTCAAGGCTGTAGTTTACCAGACATGGTTTGTATTAGTGATAACTAGTTACTACTGTACCTATTTTAATAAAATATAACATGGGATGATAATGGTGTACAGGTAATTAATTTATTTTGCTAAATAACATACTACAATCCAAAACGAAACTATAAATGCGAAAGTATTTTTTTCACCGACTTTAAAAAAGGGAGGTTCTCAATTCGATTGTGTTTTTTTTGCATACATGTTACGCGATAACTCTGTGATCATTTTGTGAACCGATTTTGATGATTCTTTTATTGTTAAAAAGAGGGTACCTCAGTAGTGGTACCAATGAAATTTCAAGGACATATCTCACCTCTAAGCGTGTCAAACTACGGGATGAATCCGATTTCGCGCACTTTCCAGTAAGCGATTTCAATAAAACTTTGCAAATAGATGTAACTCCACGAAATTTTGAGGTCGGTTTTTTTAGTAGGTATTCTGTACTGACATTATTATAATATCAAGTGACGGGACGAACAAGTGCGCCTGATGGTAAGCTACACGCTTGTCTATAACAGTTGCAGTGCCACACAGAGCTTTAAATCGCAAAGATCTGAGGGGCATTACCACTGCGCCCTTCACCCTGAGACAGGTTGACGCGTCTCATGTGCCTGTAATGCAATAACGCAATAACTCTGTCTTTTACGTTTTCACGCCTAAACCGCTGAAACACTTTTGATGAATTTTGGTATAGAAATAGATGGGACCTACGAGAAGGATATATGCTACTTTTTGGTACAAAAATAAGTTTTAAAGGGGGTGAAATAGGGAATGACAGTTTGTAGAAATCCAAAAAAACTTCGAAAATTAGTATAGTAAAGTGCCTACTCCAAATATTTACTATATACATCTGCGTAAATGAAGTCGCGGGCTCCAGGTAGTATTTATAATAATAATGCATTAGGCAGCCATCAAATTAGGGAATTCTCGGTAGGTACTGTGCGTACCATAGCAACAACCAATTCGTAATCTAAGTACTTAGCAAAGATCGCTTCTCAAATTGATACTATCGGATATTGAACCCGGAACCTAATCTAAAACCCACAATGCTAATCGCTGCGCCACCGAGGATATCAAATCGAATAAATCGACAATTTTTTTGTATTTGTTACTTACAAAATGTTTTTAATATCATGCGTAAAGGAAATTTCATAGAGA